ACACAGAGTGAATAATACAGCTAGATATAACGATAAAAAAAGGAGAAAAAAAACAGACAATACAATAACATTCGCAACAAAAATTAGGAATAATCAAAAGGAAATCTAGGTAAAGCTTATAGGCTGTGTTACGAAGCGAAATCTGAGATATCACCGGGACCTTCCTTGTGTGTATTGTAAGGCTGTTTTCCCCTTCAGGCAGATGAAAGAGTCCCCCGCGAGATCCTGGTCCTTGGTTCTGAACGCAAGGATTTTGACGAACAGTACTGGGGCTTGCTGACAACTTAACCCGTTACGAACGAATTCGTCCGGGACCCCAGGCGAACAAACCAAGGGGCGCGCCTCAGCGAGGGAGTTCATCACCACTCCGCGCTCAGCAAACAACTTAACACAGTTCGTGCCCGCGGCAGTTCACCAAAGCAAATTCTTAATTGGTCAGCCTACAGCCTCCTATTCCCAAATGTATCAGCAAGAAGAAAAATGCTTAAGAACGTAATGCCGAAGTACATGGCCTGATCTCAATCATGAAATAGTATAGATGAGGGAGTATTCAGTCACCACCTGAATACAAAGATTGTCCGGCTAACGCAACAGTTTCTTATCATCTTGCAGGTTAGACCAACGGCTTTGACAATTACACGTCGCTAAATACATTAGACCAGGACGCCAGCGTTGAGACTGAAACACGAGAAAGAGAGCCAGGTTAAACTAAGTCAGGTATTCTCAAGATTCGCAAGAGGTCGAGCTCACTCAGCCTTCTTTTGAACGATTTACTATTATTTGCTTGAAAAACTTGAGGCGGTAACAGCTCGAACCATCTTGCGCAACGATTAAACACTATATTGAACATTAATGAATAGTTCTTTGGGTAGATGCGGCCATACTGAAGATTTAACCCACCCAGCCTTCCAGTGGTAGGTCTGAAGCTCCAGTACTTACTAGCCCTTAGCTTGGGGGGTGAAACCTCCTTCCGAAGAATACGGAAGCAAAACACCAAATCAGATAAAACCCGTCTATACTGCAACGTATGCAAAGCAAAAGCTTTTAGTCGAACCCTGTAGGGAGGGATATCGTATCGACCGGAACAGTTTGTGGACCTAAACCAAAGCAAGCGAGTGAATACATGTTGGACTTTCTCAATCTTCAATATGTCCTTCCTTAAAGAAGGGCTCCATACAGGCGAGCAGTACTCTAGGTGTGGTCGGACATATGCTTTGTAAAGCCGCAGTAGGGTAGTGGGGTCTGAACTTCGAATATTTCTCATTATAACAAATAAGGCAGAATAGGCTTTCTTAATAATGCAATCAATATGCCTGGAGAATTTCAAATCCGAGTCGAAAATGACTCCAAGGTCTTTCTTGGAGTCGCAGGTAGGGAGTGTTATCCCGTTGACTATATAATCAACAGCTGCATCATCTCCAAAGTGCATGACAAAGCATTTTCTTAGGTTCAGTGGTATACCCCAGGAAGTTGACCACTCACACATTCTTTCAACTGACAGGTGAAGCGCTTGATGCATCACATCCTTGTCGTCCTCGTTATATGCGCAATACAGCTTAATGTCATCCGCGTAAATCTGTACTTGGATGTGGGGACATGTTTTCAGAAGTTGAGGCAACTCAACGGTATATATCAGAAATAGAAGAGGGGATAACACTCCACCCTGAGGAACCCCACTGGTGCAGGGGTACCTGCTCGAAAAACTGGTCCCTACCGAACTGTTTCATATTCCGATCTCCTTTAGGTTAAACACTCTTAATCATCTAGAGCACCAATGGACACCATAGAGCTCGAGTTGCCGAACAAGTTCGATGACAGCACCTTCGTCACAACGCTTTGTCCAAATCCTAATTTTATAGGTGAATTACATCCACCGATTTCCCGTGGTTGATAGATTTACAAATGTCGTACAGCGTGTCGAGAAGGTTTGTACATGTCGAAACCCCAGGAAGAAAACCGTGATGTTCGGCAGGGATGAGGTTGATGCGATTGAACCACGCCAACAATTTAACGAAAATCATCTTCTCCATCACCTTGACAGGTGTGGAAGTGAGGCTGATGGGCCTGTGGTCGCCAACTTCTTTAGCTTCGGGATGTTTGGGGAAGCCGCTGATCGAATGATTCCCATTCCAAATCTATGGGAACCGGACCTTGAAAGGAAAGAGAGTATTGAAACATGTGGGCACTTAAGGGCTTGCATAGAAACCACAGCAGTCTTGAACAAATTATTTGCGATACACCGAAAGGTTCACTGCAGAGAGGCTTGAGTCTTTTCAGGATAGTATAGACATCTCTGGGGTGGAAATAAATATCGAGGTCCCCGCTTTGGGAACTAGCTGCGCCGTACTCCAGTAATCCTGTAGAAGAAGCTGGAGGTGAAAAAACACTGGCGAAATATTTACCTAATGCTTGAGCTTTCGAAGATTCGCCCCCCCCCCCCTGAAAAGACGTAGAAACGCACACTGGTCCTTCAGTGTGGGAAGGGGTGACTTGGATTTAAACTTGCAGCGAACGTACTGATGCAAACGCTTCGAGGAAGCTTGGTTACCGAGATGGCGCTCAAGATTGGATACGAACTTCTTTAAATGGTGCTCCACATCCCTACAAACTTTCTTGTATAGTGGGCAACTCATGGGATTATCCAGAATACGAAATAAGCGTTCTTTCTGAGCCAACAAATTCCTGATGTGCAATGGATACTTGAAAGGGCGAAGCTGAGGAAACTTCAGTGGAACGAATAAGGCCAAAGCCTCGTAAACGGTCTTGCAGAATCTACGATAAATGTCGTCCATGGAAACGTAGTGGTTGAATAGGTTCAAGGCCAATCAACCTTCGAAAGATACTCATTTAGGCAGCATAGATTCACGTCCTTCCATCAATCTAAAGATTCTCAGATTTTCCCCAACTTACTGCCACTTTTTTTGCTGTCGAGCGGGGGGGGGGTATATATACGCATGAAACAGGAATCACGAAAAGTCAACCACCACTCCTAGGAGACCAAAACCCCCTCCCAACAATGAGCAAGTCAAACCCCCTTTACAAGGTCCGTGAAGCGAGAAAAATCAACTATCAAAATAAATTTTTCTCAGCCCAAATACGACCCCCCCTATTGGGGATTCCCCAACAACGATGTGCCCTGCCGAAAATCACATACTATCTCAAGCAAGCAAAAATTATACCTACTATCGCAACGGTACCGCTTACCACTGCTCCACACCCGCCTCGACATGGCATTATAGTGACCTGGACGTAGTACAGCAACGTTCCACTCGATCGTACCACCTGAAGAAACGAAGCCACGAATGCAGTCAGAAATATATCGCACAATACTCCAATAAGATCAGCTACTTTGCTAGACCCGCATGAAGGAGTTGATGCCTGTCTCGGAGTTCCTGCCGAAGGGTTCAGGAAGCAACGTACACAACTAAATCAAAGGAAATTTGCAAAATACGAACCCTCATAAATTCCCTCCTGGCATGAGCCCTTTCTCATTCTACCTGCCATTT